CCACTACCGATATTTGAGGAAACCGTGGAAAAGAGAGCGCCGGCGGTGAATATATGCATGAACGACCCAACTGTCGAAGCAAATTTCCTGAACAAGCGCGCCATCGTCTCTCGCCCGGGCGCGGAAGACATAATCCGCTTAATCCCCGAAGAAACGCGCGAAAGGAGCAAGGGGAAGTGGTGGAAGAACGGCAAAAGAGGCGTGAGGGTAAAAACTTGGTTCGCTCATTGTTCCCGATTCCCCGGACGTGGCAAAGTTGCACAGAAAATACGTAATTGCGGTCGCGCCCTTTAATCCGATTCAATATGCGAGAAGCATGATCGAGCGCGCGCAGCGCGCTACGCCATGCGGAATTCGGTCAAATAATTAGCGTTAATTTATTTCGGGGCGATTTATTGTGAGTTGTACGCAAACGTTAATATTAATTGGCATTGCAAATTGAATAGGAGAATAATAATTATTTGGTATACACGCCCGCGCGTTCCAGCAAAAGGCTGTTTAATCGCGAGCATCCGTATTCATAAATACGGCGTAATAATTCGGTACGAGAACTCACTGCGATATCGGCTAGAATCATATAAATCGACGTAGCGCTATCGTGTCGAAGCGATCAGCAGAAAACACACGCGCGCGCGCGCGCGCGAGCACGAGCACGGCACCGCCGCGGCAAAGAGAGGCACAACAATGAAACATTTATCCGCGAGATAATGTACGGCGAGATAATGCACGGATTCAGAGATCACTACGCGCGCACGGGCGCGCGAGTTAAAGGCGCATCCTCGGGGTTCTCGCATAATCTTCACTCTATAACCCGGCTAACCCGCCGGGGTCAACGGTATGGCGGAGAAACACTTAGGAAATTACATAAATATATACTCTGTCGCTCAGGAAAAGTCACGGAGCATAAAGGGGAGAACGGTTAGGAGGAAGTGCACCGGCGGGATCCCGCGCTTCGACATCAACGCGGAAGGAATCGCGGCTAGGAAGTCGGCAGTTTCATTAAATGTAGATAAATCTTCCCCGGCGCGCACACATCCTTTGCGGCGTGGCCCGTCGTGGCGGCACTTGTTTGCTGGCTCGCGGATAATCAAGAGAACTCGCAACATCATATTATTGCGCAACAATGCGCGCGTGTGATCGCGAAGCCCAGACGCCGTCGTCGGCGACAGCGACCGGGATTGTCGTGACG